CGTACACCATATAATCTTAGAAGTAGTGGTCTAAACGTAGTACAAACTTCATATAATAGCAGATTCCTTCACGGCTCATACGCGTATATGATCTCACGATTTGGAACCAGTTACCATCTGCTGTAAAAAATGCATCTAATGGATGATCCTTCCGGAGACTTTTAACTAAGTTAAATTTTGCTGCCAATGCCGTGGTTGCCTTTGATTGGTTTTTTTTTTTTAAATTTTTTTTATTTATAGATGTACATTATTTCTAAGTTAATCGGTGCTATTACAATTTTAGCTTTCTATTATATTGTGAAACACTTTTATCATGAGCCTCTGGCTCGGGGGATTGGGAGACCACCCTCTGTGTATTTTTTGACATAAAATAAATTACCTTATCTTATCTTATGCGTTGCCTTATCCCACCGAGACCTAGACGGGAATATTTCTTCAGGTATCATAAATTTTCACTGTATGATTTAAGGTTACTACCCACCTTTGCGGGTGTCCATCGGGAAAAACCTCGTACGCGCGCTAGTTTTAAGAAAACCCTAACAAACTATACATCAACAGAAAACTTGATAAATGCAGTTTACGATACGGGTATAATTTAGGCGATATTTTTATTTACGAAGCGTCAGAAGCCGGTAAGGTGTGAAACGATTGAGAGTTCTTCTATTGAATTTTGTCGGGTATCGGATCCCGCAGCACGAGTTTTCAGGCCATCCATCGTACCTAGCAACAAATGGAATAAGGCGATTGCACTGATAAAGAGTAAAATAACTAAAAGCGTTCGATTTGGATTCGGAATTTCAAAGAGGGGTCTCACAAAGTGGCTGCATAGTCTTATTCACAAGGCATCAATCAACAATAGTGCGTCAGGCTTTTGCGCCGGATATTCTGATTGATTGTCTAGATATCCGCGTCTAAAGTTAGGAGTAACGTAAATGTGCGACACGTGTTGCGTAAATGGACACCACGTGAAAAGTATTATAAATATCAAAATTTCTTGACACACTTTCGTTCATCATCATCCCCGAAATGTTTGGGCAACATTGGCAAGGGACAAACCCGCGGCAAAAAAGGTAAAGCTGGAGAAACTGCTGAAAAGCAAAACAGCGAATCGACCGACAGCTTCAGTAATACCCTTGTCGCTGCAGTGAGTTCCCTCAGGTAGGTTTTATTCATGATTTCATACGTTTTGAGGAGATTGCTTATGTATTTGTATCAAGGTCGGTACTTGTCCATTGAAAGGAAACTTCGTTTTAACCT